AACAACAGTTTATTTATTAATAATTTATTTAAACACTTATTTATTTTATAACACAACTATTCTAATTTATATATACTTCGAATGTCTTTAGACTGATCACTATTTATATTCACCACTGTCTATCTACTAATTACTATTTATCTTCACTGTCCATATAACAACTGATTCTGATGGCTCATCCACCAATATTTATATACAAAATTGGCGGACGTTCTAGTAAGTTCAGATATTCTCTCCAATACACTAGAAACATTATCTCGTTCTTTCTGGAATGTTCGCGAAAGTGTCTCTACCATAGTCGTCACATAGGTTTGGTCTTAAGGGGTTTAATTATGTATAATAATCGGACAAGTTGAGCCTCAAATGCCAAATAATACAGAGAGGGACTTGGAGTATTACAGCATGACTGAATAATGAAATGGCTCACATTACAATAGGAAACTTATTAAACACATCATACTTCAAGATAATACGAGTATATTTTTTTGTGAATAATACAATATTTATTGTGTCTTTTTTACAACATACTAAAAAAATTTAGAAAATTACATAATTTAAAAAATAATTTTAGAGGTTAAACTAAAAATACACCTTTTTTTAATATTCTCGGACTAGGCACGACAACAAAATATTAGAACAAAGAACAAAATAGCTAATTTGTGTATTAAGAGCGATCTGTCGAAAGCGGCAACGAACTTTTCACTCAAAATGCACACAAGATTTTTTTACGATCATAATTTTTTTAGAAATAGATATAAAAACTGAAAATTTGTCGTAAGTAGTGTATAATGTGTTGCCTATTCCTATGTTAATCATAAAAAACGCAGTTGATATTCAAAGTCCATGGATAATATAACAAAAAACATGTACTTACAAATAACTTGAAAATCATTCATTAAAAAGAAATATATTATAGCTAATTTAAATTAAGCGAGCAACAAAGTTGTCACTTAATGTCAGTTCGCGCAAAACATCAACTTTGCGATTGGAGTTCAAAGCGCAAAAGCCTACTTTGGCTAGTGATCGTAAAAAAATATTGTTCTGTATTTTCCTCAAAATGTCATTCAACAGCATCATCTATCAGTTCTTCATCATTGCCAAATGCTACTGAGGGAAATCTGGGCTAGAAGGTCGATTTATAGTTATACAAAACCACATTATTTATCAGTAACAAAAAGCCTGGCTAATTGATTCCTACCACAGCTTTTTAATCTCCCGAGTTGTGCACTGGTGCATTTTAATGCAGCAATAGGACACCTTTCGTAACTTATATAGATTCCGAGACTAAGCATTAAGCTCGCATAACACTTTCGTGCTTCCTTATTCTGAAAATCAATCATTAAAATCCCTTGACTGTCCTAGAAACGGTAATTTTTATTTTTATACTGCAGAAGATGTGACTTTAAACTTTTGGGAAGACTGGAATCTTTAATATAGTACTGTATCGATTGTTCTTTCCATACAGGCTCAGTTATGGATCTAGCTTTCATCTTTATAGGGGCAGTTCGATTGATAATAAAATCTGGTTTAGCCCCATAGAGCATTAAAAAAATTGTATTCTTGTGGACACGCATTTAAAATGGTGAACGAGCATTAGCGACTCCTATCTCACACTAACATTTTTCATTCAAAAGCATTGGTGTAAAATTCTGAAAACTGTGGTTTTTGAAATTCCTAATAATGCTGCTAATTCTCGTTTCTTTATATTCTTACATCCTCTATTTAATAACATCCGATGTGACAATGTCAACAGAGAGCTCTGGTAAGAATATGTAAATAAATAAAATAATCCGTATACACCCTAATTCTTATTCACATAGGTTTGCCAGGTGGCCGGGGGTTGTCGGAAGTCTCCTGAATTTAGAGGTTACTCCAGGATGCTGTAATTAGGAGATTTTCTCCCGGAAATTCTAAATTATAATTCCACTTAGTCTAACTAAAACTAAAAATTTTGCCAGAAAAAAAAAACTATAAAACTTGGCAACACGGAATACAATATGTGCATTGAAGTCAGCCAAATCAAAAATACAAAAGTGGAATTACCAAAGTTATTACAGCCTCATTTATGAGTTACGACTGATAATGTGTTACATTTGTTGCTTTTTAGTGTAGTTTATAATTGTTATAGGTTACCAATTACCAAGAGTTTTGTTTAATATTTATCGAAATATTGCGATAATACACGATTCAGTATCATTGTTTTTTTTTTTGACATCCTCCCGGAATATTAAAAAAAAATCCTAAATTTGAGATGCAGTCTCCCGAAAAATGGTAATTATAATCTGTCAAATTATTTATTATAATTAACGGCTCAGTAACTTAAACTAAATAAATGGACCCTTGTTCCTCCTAGACGTAATTCTACTTCATTTTAGGCTTACCACATCATCATATATCGAGATAAAAGTGCAAAAAATCTTCAATTGGGCGGTCCCGAGGTAAATTAGGGGGTTATCCAGTTTTGGTACAAAAGTTATGTTATTTTGGTGGAGCCAATTTTGAGTTTTGAGACATTATATCGTCCCCAACCTTATGCTGGTGCACAAAATCAACTGATATAGTGAGGTAGTTGTTAATATTACTTTCAGAATCTACACGTTCCCCCATTATTCGACCCAGAAAAGATCTAGATATCCCTCTAGTCAAAATTGCACACCTGACCAGGGGCCTAATTCCTGACGGCGTTCGTCATCGTCTCGCATGCAGTGACGTATGCGAGTACAAAAATGGTATTCTGGAAAGCCTTTGCCGTATGCGAGTGATCCCGCATGAGTCGCTTGGCGAATGATTTGCAACGAATGGTCTTGACCATTCGGCAACTTTATCTCGCAAGCGTTTGAGGAATCCACATCGGATGCATCTGAGATGTAGTAAATCTTTGAACACGTGATTCAGTATACGTAAATGTAGTGGGACAGATGTGTCCGATGTGGATAAAAAACTCTCGAGATGTAAAAAATGCATCCAATGTGGATTCTCAAACGCGGCATATGGGTATCCAAGTATGTTACTTGTCACTGTCACATATATCTAATATAAAATAATTGTTCTTTCTAGTTTATTTTTAATGAATTTTTTATAATTACAAAATGTTCATTAGTCATTATGTCATTACTTAGTTATTGTTATGAAGACTAGTCTTCATAATTATTGTATTTATAAGTGTACATTTTTTATAAAATGAACGATATAGAGGAATTTTTGTCCTTATACAATTAATACAAAATATTGAATAGGCCCAATTAGATACAGAACTACAACCTCTCAATTACACCGGGCGGTAGGATCCATTTTTGTTACCAGATAGACAGTTTATAATAATATTTTGCTTTTGATTTTTTGATTTTAAAATTTATATTCAGGCTTTATTTTGAATTACAAACAGCTTTGTTTTGTAAACATTTTGCTTTAAATAATAGATAAAGATACTTATCTATTAAAACATGTTCATTGTTTATTAATTTATTAACACCATGTCTATCTGATCTATTTTTATGTTGTAACCTTATTTTATCGAAAAGCAGACTTTTTTTTTTTTAAAGAATGACTTTTCTCCTCTTGTTAACTCCATCCGTGGAGACACTGTATTTTGTCAAATTTAAAATACTACCTCATTGATGTTGATATTTAGTTTAAAACTAAAAATACATAATATTTTGGTTATCGATATTAACCCTAAACTGTTTTCCGTTCTTTTCGGCAAAGCTTGAATATGCGATAAACATTTTAAAACAACTTTTACTTCTGGCAAACGAGCAACGTTTTGTATCTTCGTTAATTAACAAACCTCATAATTTTCGAACGCATGATCACTTTCCAGAATGGGCGAATTTTCGCCTTATTAACCTCAAATATGTTCGCTAATTACCGTTTATTATTCTGCAAGTCGCTTCGGTCGTATCGATAAAACTGTAATATTTTCGACACATGCAACGAGGAACCTAAACCTAATTTTTCAAATTACTAATATGGGAATTAACACATGAGATTTGGAGATATCTTTACAGTTACAAGTGTAATAACATGCAAAAAATTATTAAACTGACAATTTCGGTGCCGCACTAGTTAGTTCATGCAATGCCGATGAAATTAAGAAATTAAAATTGTGTGTGTTCCGTTTGTGGATCTAAAGCAATTAATTATTCTGTCATAAATTGCTCGAAATTGGATTCTCTCATTAAATACTATTCTAACAGGGCTGGCGTAGTTTAAAAACTAAAATTATTTTGTGTGTTAAGAAATTGAAAATTAATGAAAATGTTTTATTATTTGCTAACAAACGGGAATAGGAATAATATTGTATACTCATAAGGTTCATCTCAAGTTATTACACCATCACAGATTAACACTTTAACCTAAAGTAGCAAACTAGGTAAAAATAGTGTATGTTTATTAAGAATTTATAGTGGCATCCTTCTTTAGTGCATCTACACCATTTCACTAACATACTTTTTTATCCGCAAAATAATCACATGTTATTAATACCCCTAGAGGTTAAATAATTTTTGAAGATGTTTTCGAGCTCATGAATATTTTGAAAATTATTCCTAACCACAATAACATTGTACTTATCTTTTTTTTTTCTTTATTGTCATATGTTAGGTTTAAATTATATTTATACCTAAATGTGCAAGTAAAGTTATTACTAAATAATTTACTGTATAGATAGAGTCAAATGTGATCATTAAAACAACACGCAGTTGTTTTGTGTTAAAATGCAATTATACCATATCCGGAGGTGTGTGACTAATATTCCCTTCTATTAAATTTCATCTGTTTTAAATAATTCTTTATAGATTATTTCCCTTGATTTATATTAACCAATAAAATGTCACAATTTTTAAAATTCAGACCAATCGGATTCAGTTATCAGCGACTATTTCTCTAGACCAAATATCAGCGACTATTTCCCTAGAGAAATAGTCAATGATACGTCACATAAAAATGTCTGTCAGTTTTTGCTCACGCAGTTCTGTCGCAATTTAATAAATTATAATAAAATGGAAAGATTCGGTGTTTTTGATAAAAATTCTATAGAAAAGGCTGTAAAATCTTTGGTACCCACGAATACGGTGCGAAGTAAAAATAGTATCTGGGCTCAATTTACCCAATTTTGTACAGTGCGTAAGTATACATTAGATGCACATACATCAGAAGGTGAATTAAACAATATTTTGAAAGACTGGGCATGGAATATGAAGAAAACCAATGGAGAAGAATATAAAGAATACACATTAAAATGTATGTGGAATTCCACAGCTAAAAGTTTGCAAGAATTATATTTTAAGCTTGTTCAGTGGTATAAAAATCAACCAGTCGGTAAAAGTGAGTTGTCAAAATGGACAAAAATAGGAGCACAATCGATCGGTGTGAATACCAAAAAAGTAAAAATTTCCAATCTGAGAAACACCAGAGGTGGCAGAATACTGATCAGACTTAAATCCATTTAATTCAACGTATTGTATTTTGTTGGTGAGAAGCCGAATAAGATTGTTTTAAAGTCCAAAAGAGGCTAGTTTTTTTACCAAAATCAAGCTGATCAAATGCCTTTGTCCTATCCGTATAAATAAAATCTGCCTGAGTTCGGTTGTCAATGTTTTCTGAAATATACTGCGTAATTATGGAGAGATTTGTAACTGTTGAACGACCTTTTACAAAGCCATGTTGATCCGATATTATGTTGCGGACGTGTTGGTAAACTGTACGTTCCAGTAACATTTCAAACACTTTACTAAAGTTACAGATGATAGAGATAGGGAGATAGTTTTCCACCTCAGTTGTATTTCCTTTTTTATATATGGGGCAAACCTTAGACTCTTTCCACACTAACGGTATGGTTTTAGTCCAGATGCAGGTGTTTATAAGTACAGTTAAAGGATGAGGCAGTATCTAATACTTGGTTTTCTAAAAAGCTAGTAGTGTTTAAGTGATACACGTGCCTTTCGTTTATCGGGACATTTGTGGCTGAAGACTCCACATAAGATTTACTAAAAAAGGTAGCAAAGCCATGTAATATATCTGATGGATTAAGAAGAAAGTTACTTTCATAAATCATGGTATTGCCAACTTTATTGGAGCATTTTTTATTATTGATGTAAGCCCAGAATTTATTGGAATTAATCGATATTTCTGATTCAGCTTTTTCAAGATATTGTTTATAAGTTCCATCGACATCAACTTCAACTTAACTTCTTATGCGTTAAACTCCTCAAAAGCATGAATATCATTCTCTCTCTTATAGTGTCGCCAGAGTTTGGATTTTTTGCGAATTAAATTTATAATAGCGCCATTATACCAGGGAAGATAATTTTTCTTACTGCGGACTGTATACCTAGGTACACATTTATCTAACACATTGTATAATTTCCCATAAGAGTATGTACAGGCATCATTAACTTTATAAAAGCTTTCCAGAAAAGTCCTGATATTGGCTAGTTTATGCACAGATTACAAAACGAAAAAGTAGACCATTGCGTTCAACTGAACGAAAATAATATTTCATATCCATTCTACCTAGTAAGAACACTGCACGGATATGAAGTCCACCAATCACAGTTTATATTTGGTCACCAGGCTATTCTTATTTTTTTAAATTTTAAATGAGGACAATTGTGTCAAACTAATTGTCAGTATATTTTTTATTAATTGAGATTAAACATAAATAAAAATGAGTGATTCGTATCAGGGTTCGGAGGATATATATCAAGTGATATATATCACGATATATATCATGATATTTATACCTTGATATATATCCGATATATTCGATAATTTTATTTATTAAATTAAAAGTGTTTTCTACCATTCTGAACATCTGAAAAAGTCTCAATACGCCCTTGTATAAAAGTATAATAACTAGCAATTTATATGTGTTTGTGTTAAAATATTAATGTTAACAAAATAATGTTAAAATCGGTTTATTTTATTAATTAGTTTTGTTTTTTCTTCTTAACTTGAGTTAGAATAAACGGTTTTGTTGTTTAGAATATAGGTTCTTGTTAGTATGTTTGTGTTAAAATTTAAAATATAGTTTGTGCAAGAAACAGTACTGTTTTTTAAATTTTAAAAATGATATATATCCTATATATATCAGATATATATTATGTGATATGATATTTATATAAATATCATGATATTTTCGAACCCTGATTCGTATGAAGAATCGATAAATACCAGCATTTCACAAGACATACTTATTTACAAAAAAAAAATTAATAAATTTTAATAAAATTATAAAATCAATTCAATTATGAGTAAGTCATAGAAAAAATATACTATCACAAGTGGATTGTCCGATTGACACTTGTTTCACAAACTACTAATTTGTTTAAGATAATTATTGGGTAAATTAATAATAATTGTAGAGTAAAAAATAAGTAGAACAAGAAAATAAATGTCACTGTATGGTTAATTAAATGGTAAGCTAAAAAAAAAGTAATTTTTCATGTTCTATTCCCACAATAAAATACAATTAACATTGAGGGTAAAATTTTTTTTGAGACGTCTCATTATTTGTTATGCTAGTTAAATAATTACTCTGAGTATGTAAAACTATTTAACTTTTTACATAGGTATTTTTCTTCTCATTTGTAGACCTGATGACGGTTTAAGACCGAAACCGATAACTTTTTAAATCATTTTTTTTTTTTAGATGAGTTTGATTCCGAGTCATTTTCTTAATATTGATTTATTAGTTTCTCTTTTTCTATGTAATTTTTGTTAATTTGTTTATTATAAAAGTGTCTTACTTTACATCAAATACTGTTTAAAGTTTGGTTATGTTATTGCTTTCACTATTATTTGTTCAAATTACTCGGATGATGACGATTGGCGATACATGTTTTCGGTAAACAACTTACTGAAAAAGAAAAACATTCTTTTTGTCTTTGTAAATACACTTTTAGTCAAGGTCGCAAAACCATTTACTCATCGCTGTCATTTTTAGCATGTGAAAAAGAACTTAAGTAATTACAAATATGCTTACATGCACGACCTACCTGAATATATATTTTATAATTAAACTTCTACTTCTAAAATAAACAATCTAAAAATACCTGTTATCTGCAATAACATTATTTTTGTATGGAAACCTAAATTGAGTCAATACTATATAATATAAAACAAATAGACAAACAGTTGTAATTACAAAATGTTGATTCTATAATGTCGTGGGTTTAATGCGAAAACTAAGTCAAATTATTTGAGTTACAAATTTCCTTAATTATTAACATTTCCATTAATTAATTAGTGAATCCTTAAGCATTGCGATGAACCAAATACGATTTTGTACGATTACCTGCATGCTAGGAAGTTTTGCAGTCGTTGAATCCATCAGAATTTCAGAGAAAAATAAAAACAGACATGTGTACAAGTGATGCAAGGAAATGCTCAAAAAAATTTGAAGCGGGTCGTTCGAATTCTGTTACCAAGTTTGTATATATTCAAATGAGCCTGGAGAGAATTGGGTGTTTCAAGATGAACCTGGTGAATTCACGAAGCGTTTCAAAAAATAATTGTTTCTTCGGAAAAACGGGCTACGTTACAACTGTTGCATTAGAGTACAGAAGGGCAGTTAATTCTGACTAGTATACCCAAATTTGTTTGCTGGAAGAAGAAGAAGAAGCAACGTAAATCGACGAATCATTCTTCATTATGGCAATAGCACGACAAAATGTCGAGTTTTTAGTCAGTAACAACATTCAATTAATGCTCATCTCCTATATTCGCTTGATTTATCGCTCAGTGATTTCTTCTTATTCCGACATATCAAAAATAAAATGCGTGACTAGTGTTTTTCATCCCTGAAGAGACCCTTGAAGCATTTAAATAAGTTGTTTCGTTTATTTATTTTAATTTATATTCACTAAATACACCAACTGATTTTATAACTAATTTATCTTTACTCGACAATACTAAACTCAAACGGCAAAACCCATTTATATACAAAAATGTTAGACTGTAGACAAATCCAGTCATGTTTCGCTGACTTCGAGATGTTTCTAAGATGGTGCTTCCCAATGAATTCCCACTTGCGCTAGAGTTTTCTGATATACAGACGAGCAGCGATAACGTAAACAAAGATCGGGACAGGACTGATTGAAAATGGCTCGCACAACAACTATTTTCGGAGGTAACTTGCTCTGAGTAGAAAAGGGGTTTTGAAGATTTTAAATGAAAATATTTTAAAGAGCAATAATGCGATATTAATTAAAATAATTGGAGTATTGTTTGAAAAGGCAGTTGTGCGCTACATTCGCAAGATCAGTGCCAGAACTAAAAGTTAATATTCCAGAAATATGGGGTTGGTGCACTGCACAAGATTCTCAAGAGCTTGTAGGTACAATATCTCAAAGAGTTATTGCCGTTATCAAAGCTATTATTATTAATTATTATTAGAGACGTAGAAGTAGGAGGGTGCTACGTAAAACATTTGCTTTGAGTTTGTTATTCTGTTTATTATTTGGAGTCACAAATTTTTCTACTGTTTCTCATTTTAAAGTATTAAATTTAAAAATTTAAACAATTATACCAATTTTATATATAAAAGATGTTTATAATCAAATTTTCTAAAAAGTTTCATTAAATAGAAGTATGAATTGCTCATTTACCACACCCCTTATCAAAATGTAAAATAATAAATTACTATTCATTGTCTAAAAATATTTTCATGTACCAATTTTGATAAATATTTACGAATATATTGTGAAATTATTACAAGAAAAAAATATTTCAATTTTAACACTCAGTATCTTTTTCCACAGTAACATTTTATTAAGGCATGTTTCATCCAATCCCCGATATGTTGCGCTTATTCTGTCCCAAAAGTTATGACTCACCCTGTATATTTTTCGAATTTTAGCAGTGCTCCTCGTACATACTCCAAACTACAATTTTACGCTATCCATGTTTAAATATGATTCTGTATTATCTGTTTCGACTGCTTGGAAAATATTGATCAATTTCAGTTTTGTTTTATTTTTCATTCATTCATTCATTCATTCATTCATTCACCTGCCTACACTTGCCCGACCTTAAAATCTATTACAAGTAGCTAGGCAATAAAACGAATAAAAGATATCCATAAAAATCAAATAATATTGAATAATTCCATATTAAATATTTTTTATTAGCAATGTTTACAACAATAATTAACAGTTTAGCAACAATTTGCATATTTGCATTATCTCAACTACATATATTATTGTGCCTTATTGAGAAGAAATAAAAAAGCATTAGAAAGT